TACCAGAAATTGGGTTTTGTCCTCTTTTCTCTCACAATTCTTTTGCCTATTCTTTTTCTCTTCTTTTTTGAATTGCTGTAAAAAAACAATACACTAAAATATCTTGGTTATCAAGATTGTTCATACAGGGTCTGTTAAGGTCATAAGATGGAGTTATCTGTTCCCTTAATTCTCTGAGGTGGACACTAAGCGGGCACAGTAATTGAGTTACAAATAATTAGATAATTGTGATGCAATTCCTGCAACTGGTTTTATTTCCATATCTCAAGACAAGGTCTTGAAATAGAGAAAGATGAAGAAGGCTGGGTGGCTTCACCTTATCTAGGAGTGCCTTCACTTGATTGCTCTAAGGTTTGAGTTCCTGCAGAGTGGTACTTTTTGCACCTATAATCAGAACTGATATATTTTTCTTTTCTTAAGACATAATTTATTTTCTTTATTCTCCTTCTATTAAAGTGTTCCTGAAAATAACTAACTGTGTGTCACAGTCTGCCATAGTGTTAGGAGTCAAATGCGACTTTCTGACATAAGACAATGCAAAAGCATCCTGAATCCCTCCAGTGGACAAATTTCTCCTGTTCTATTAAAAAAATAAATTAATTAAAAAGCTCCTTGGTATTTCCCTAGAGGTGCACAGTGTTATGTCCTTCAGGTTTTTTTTCACAGGATATGGAAGAAGCCTGGTTCACTGATTTCTTGGGCAAGCAAAACAGTCGAAATGCAGAATTAGCATGATTGTTCTCTTTGACAAAACTAGAGTTCGACAAGAGTAAGTTACACCTCAAACCTTACAGGCTAAATAAATGCTGAGGACATTTTAATAAACACTGTCTTTCTCTTAGACAAATCCCTCAGCATTCTTTTCAGCCCAGTTATTAACTCTTTGGTGACAACAGTGTTTGGAGAGTTCCCATCCGACCAGGGATCAGGCTAAATCAGTGACACCAGTGACTACTCCATTACTGGGATAAACAGCGGTGGCCTTCCAAAGTCACACACTGGCTCTGGACACAGCTGCTCCGAAAGTCCCTCTGGCAAAAGCCAGGAAAACTGCCAGGGCTCCAAGAAGGTTTGATCGAAACCCCCGGGGAGGGCCTTGCAGTGATTGCAATATCACTCTAATCAGTAAAATGAAAAGCTTTTCATCAACAGCTAATCATAAGACTTCATTTGTCTCTAACTTCCTTCAGTTGCCTTGACAGATGAGAGCACAATAATATAAATAAGAAACGACAGTTTACCAAAGAAGGTTAACCTAAGATCTTGACCTTTTTTAATTTGACTTCTGGAGCTTATTCATGTGTGAAAACACGCTCTTGTAGCCGTAGCCTGAGCATCCCTTAACAGATCTGGATTTGTGCCCATAACTGAGTTTTAAAATGGTATTTATGTTCAGAAAATATAATTTCTGCTTTTTGTAATGTTCAAGTAGAATTGTTTCACATTAGTATAAAATATTAAATGAGAATATCTATGCATCTCACAGCATATCTCACTGACATAAGAAGTCAGTGGTACCTCTGCTTAACAACTGAGAAGATATTGCACAGACACACACATTTCCCCTCCATTCCTCAGACCAAGTTACGGCTTTCTGAGCAAATCCACCCACAGACACTGACCAGACTGCCCCTGAAACACTGAACACCCGTACGGATGCACAGGGCACAGAATCAGGCCAACAGTCATACACTAGTAAATGTCAAATATTAATTTGTTGTATTATTTGTGCAGTGATTTAAATCCAAATCCTTCCTCACCATTAATTTCCATCAGACATATGACGAGCAAGAGGCAAGCGTGAGCCTTCTGTCAAAATCCGTAATGCCTACGCGACTATCTGCCAGAAAATATTTCTCTGTCAGGTAAGAAAGCTGAAGTTCTGTCCACGAACACTGGAGAGTAAAAGCTGCAGTACCACGTGTAGCTAGTTGTTTTGAAAGGCTAATCGGTTCACCGCTCTGGCTGGCATTTCTATACAGACACACGTGCCTTCACCTTACTAAAACTCGCCACTTGATCTAAGTATTTTTCACTGAAGAGAAGTAAGACTTCACTTACCACATAAGTCTGAAAGATATATCCTGCCATAGGAGCCCCCCGTTAGTCAGAAAAGATCCTTACCGGCCTTGGAAGGGGTATGGACCCCGCAGTGTGGGGTGTCCCAGGCTGTGCTGCTCAATCCCCTTCCCCATATGGCTCTAATCAGCCACAGAACCACCCAAGAAAGGGAAGGTTTAGTCAATAACTTATTTAACTTATTTAAGTTTAAGCAATAACTTATTTTAGATTATCTTGCCTATTTCATGCTGTTGTCTTGTTCATATTCATGGAGACTTGTATCTTGCACACACCTTTGACACCTTAGAAGATAGAGATGCTGAGCATTCTCAGCTCATTCTAGATGTGAAATTATGCCTTTGGGTTTCCTAAAATTGCTCACAAAAGCCTCAGCTATTATTGATCAAATCAGCAGTAGCCTTCATTATGTTGTTGGATTTGAGAATTTTTATCCGCTTTCCCTTCCTTAGCATTAAACAGCTAAAAATCATTATTTTGTGTTTGTTTTTTCTTTTGTTTTAAATACAGTTATTTCCTGACATCTTTCCTTTTTGTCAGAAGGATGCTCCACTTTGTTTCTGAAAAACAGGATCAATCTTTGCACTATTAATGACTTACTGAATAAAATCTGTACTACTTTCACGGTGCTTTTCTAACAATACACTTTATTTGTACCTTGGCTTATAAAAAAAACCCCTGTACATCAGTTGATTATTTCAGTCACCAGTGAAATAAAACCAACAATGAGATGGATAATGGGGGCAGAACAATAGTACACATCTATTTAACGCTCGAATTTAGACTAACGGGTAACATAAAGCACAATGATGCTATAAGGAAAGAAAGAATGTAACTACCCAGAACAACTATAAACCTTATTCCTCCAAAAACGCTGGCTAACCTGAACAAGAAGCTGTTTTACTCTCATCTGCAAAATGACCCCTTTGAGCAATGCAGAGGCATCAATAAAAACCAATTCCGTGTCACGTCCTGAAAGACCAGCACCTTGCAGCAGCACACGCAGTTTTGTCTTTTCCCTTATGTAGTAACCAACCACTAAGTTACTTATATTGTAACATCTGATGGCTAGAATTCAGCTGAAGTTGGCCTTCTTGCAAGTCACTATAGCCGCACGTTCGTTGCCATTATCACCTCCACAAAAGTTCAGGTGTAATTAGTGTTACCGCAGCGTTCACTTTGTTCTACGACTTGAGTGTTTCTAGTTTATTGTATGTTTCCATTTTTGTCTGAAGATTTCAAAAAGTGGCTTCAAAATGGCCAAGAATAAATTCTCCGTAATTCCTGGTTAGTATATAGCACAAGAATCAAATATCCTAAGCTCTGAGTTTTTAAAGAATGTCAAAATACTGGAATTCAAAGTATATTTTAAGAATAGAAGAACTGTGCAGAAGGAACACTAATTTAACTAACTTATTAACACAAAACTATTTTAAAGGAGATAGGACTCTTGCATGCTAAGCAATTTAGGATTACAATGAGTAGGACCCCTGCTTTTGGACAAATTTTATGCAGCTCTGAAAGTAAGTAGTCATCAACATACAGACCTACACACTGGTTCATGGGCATGTTACCAGCCAGTCCTCAAAAGAGGTAAGAGAAAGCACAGGTGAAGAAGCAGGAATCTGTGAATCATGCATGGTATTTCTGGCTTGAGCTCTCACAACGCCAAAATGAAAGCATGGAAGACCATAATGAAAAACTTCAATCAAAACAAAATAACCATCTACAGCTTATTTACACTGTCAAGTTGGATATCAAATCATAGGTTGCTGTGGAAAATAATTCTACCATCTTCTAGTGAAAAAAGGAGTGCAGCAAAATAAATTATAAAGTTTGGATAAAGCACATGACCATGGCCAAGAAATCCATTGCTTTGTACAAACCTTAAGAAAGGAGTTGAAGGACAATGGTAAAATGAAATCCTGGAAGAAAGGAATTTGTGAGATACCATGCAACAGGAAAAGCCAGAGAAGATAGTTTCTTGTGAAAAGATGATAATACAGCTCATGAAAACCTACCTAGTGCCTTTCATCTTGAGATAATCCAAACACGTCAATGATATACTTACTGCAGCAATGAAATGCAATCGAGGGTGCAATCCAGGCACGCAGCCAGTGCACACAAGATCCCATTGCAGTGAACATGCATTACCTGTGTTAGAGGAGAGTTCAGGAAGATGGAATTGCTCTGGCCTGCAATACCGTACACGTTGGCTGCTTTACATCTGATCTCCTCTACCTTTTGCAGCATTTCATGAGGCAAAAAATGTGGTGACTGTAGGTCAACAGACCAGATGGGCTTGTTTTCACCCACTCTATGTTTACCAGTGCATCTTTAAGAAGTCTAACCCTAATTTATTATGCGTTCTAACATAAGCTTATGTGACATTTTGCTTCTACACAAAGTCAAGCTTTTGCATAAGAACAAATTTCACCCCATAATGTACTAACTAGACTTATATTTCCCTTAGGAAGACGACAAATGGGTTTATGTAGCATGTGGTTTTAAATCCTTTTTTATTCGGTTAATCTCTAGCTGTGGAGTTTTGATTGAAATGCAAAAATGTATGTGTATTTTCTGATAAGGACCATTTTGTTTTAGAGACAGACAAAATATTATCAAACATATACACTTTCTTCAAGTTTTTAAATTGATGATGGAAATTCCATAATCAGAACATGGCACAGTCAATCCAGGTTAAGTGATAACATTTTTTCAAAGAAAGAAAACAAAAACCCAACCCTTTGAAGTGTTCTTACAGCTACATCTTCATAATCCAGACATGAGAAGATCTGCACTCTTGACAACTCTGACTATATGCTCTTCAGCTGGCTCCAGATAAAAGCTAACATTTCCTTTTCCTTTCCAATGTCTTCTCTGACTTCTTAATAGCAGTGAGACACGGTACAAAACATTACCTCCACATGATTTTCCATCCTCCTCCAGTTTCTGGCCAGCTGGACATTTGCAGTGGTAGCTGCCGATGGTATTACAGCACTGGTCATGACAGCCACCGTTCTCAGTGGTGCACTCGTTTACGTCTGTCGGAAGAAAGCACACGGCAGTCAGTAAAGAGTGGGCATTGACTTCATTACCTGGTTATTTGAAGACAATCCTGTACGATTCTGATGTGACAAAATGAGGAAGTTAACGAGACGCACAGCTAAGGACTCTGAAGGCTCGCTTGTGTATTAGGTTGCTTCTAGCAGTCATGGTAGAGATGAGAAACCTCTGACAGACAGTAGTATTTTAAATCAATTAAGATCCTTCTTTCCTTCAGATATGCGTGCACTCTTATCTACACACTTTACTCATTCACCTGATCAAGTTAGTGCTTGCCTGCATGCAAAAATAGAACTTTACACGTTATAAATGAAGAACATTAAAGAACCACATAAATAAATAAGTAAATAGGCTGGCCAATGGCAGGGAAAAATCAAGAGTGAAGATAATTGCTTTTTAACCCGTGTACTTACAAACCCTACATAAGAATTTTTGAAGGAATGTGATAGAAATCATCAGGTCAGTACTACTGCTCTGTTGAACAGGATCAGAGACAACAGATGGTATGCAAGTATTTCCAAACTAGAATATATGTCAAATGGCATAGTAAATGTAACAAAACCAGCAGGTATTCGCCGCACTGATTTCACATATTCTGGAACGCACACTTGTGCAACGCTTGCTTGCTTGCTTTGCTCTCGCTGAAGCGTTAATGTCACACAGACACACAATTCACCAGTGCAGGGGTACGCAGGGACAGCAACAAATCTGAATAACAGGCTGTGGGTGTTCTTCTTCCAGAGTTTTGACAAAGTCTTGAACTGACTTGGTAGCAAAGCAGACCTCCTTGGCATGTTGGTAAGGGGCAAGCCAGGGCTAAGGGGACACCCCAGGTTCTCAAAGCCTGGCACGAGGACACAGGTGACAGATCTCACATCCGCAAGGCCTTTGGCACTGGTAGAGATTGCACATTACATTCAGGCTAGAGAGCAGGAAAAGCAGGAGGAGGAGGAAATTTAAGCAACATGAGATAAGCATCATCATGACTGTAAAGATCATGGAATCATAGAACCATTAAGATCATTGAGTCCAACCATAA